AGCGGCGGCCCTGGGGACAGCCGGCAGGTGGCAGCGGCGGCCGCGGCACGGCGGAGCTGCTGGGGCTGGGGGGAGCAGGGACCCCCCGCGCTGGGCAGGGGGGTCCCGGTGCCAGCGTGTGGTGCTCGCTGCGCACCCAGAGGTGACCTGTGCAGTGACCGGCTGTGCCCCCCCCTGCCCCAGCCCCAGGTGCTGCAGGGCGCGGACAGGGGCAGCAAGCTGTACCCCCAGCGCCACAGGGCAGGGCCTCAGCCCCAGCAACCTCCACTTTCTCTTTCCCATCCAGCCAGCACTGGTTAAACTGGTTGGACAGAGCAGCTGAGCAGGGAGCTGCCAGCCGGGGGCCGTGTCCACACTGACCACCCCGGATGCGGTTCCTCCTGGCACACACCCCACTCCACACGTGGGGCACCCCACACCCTGCTGCCACTGTAGGGTGAGAACTGGGGCCCACCCAGCCCTGGGCTCAAAACACCCCTTGGGGTGCTCATCCCAAGCCCAGGGCCACCCCAGCCCTAACGGTGTTTGTGAAGGGCTGGCGGCACCCAGAACCACACCAGTCCCCAGCACCGTGTCCTGTGTCACCCTCAGGCTGTGTCATGGCTTATCTTGGTGTGAATCTCCATACCCACAGATGCACCACAGTGCTGCAAGGGCAAACAGGATCTCCGGGGCAACAAGTGTTGTGTTATCATGGGCCGAATTGCATGGGCAGGTAACAGCAGTAGCATCCTCCTCCCATCTGATGTCCCAGCCACTCACTGCACCACAGGTACTTTTTCTTGCTGACCCTTGTGTCATCAACTCACTTCAAACTCACAACCACCTCTTTCTCACTGTGGCAAGACACCAAGCCTAGGGTGGCAGCACCTTGTGCCACGCTCCCCACATGCCTGAAGGTGCCCTGGCAGCTTGGACCAGCAGCAAGGGGTCAGCAGGGGCACATCCCTGGGAGCCACCAGCTCTGGCAAGGAGATTGTAGCAGCCCTCTGCCAGCCATCCTCAGGCTCAAGGAAGAGTTGCCCTGAGCCCATCAGTGCTTCAGCTTCTCCTCAGCAGTGGAGGGTCCCACGGGCACTGTTCATCAGCTTGATGCTGCCCTGTGGCTCTGGGGAGGGCATGGGGACACCCCAAGAGAAGCTTATGCTCTCCCAAGTCCCTGTCCCAAGTGGACGCTCCCCCCACTGTGATCTTCTACCCATGGCCTTTTATAGGGCCTGGGTTGTGGCACATCAGTTGAGTAGATGGGCAGGGAAAGCCATTTCTCCAGGTCAGTAAAGCAGAGGGTGCCTGCAGGGCGTTGGGAAGGATTGCTCAGGCTCCACTGACTTCCTGGCTCCCAAACACAAGCAGAAGGAAGGGGGCAGTCTGAGCCCCAGGAGGACTCAGAGGGTTCCCAGTAAGTCAGGCACACATGGGGGATGTCACCCACTGAGGGCACTTTTCCCATCAGTGCCATAGCCCAGGTGTGTGGACTGACCGTGGCACTTCCCTGGGGTCAGCTGTGGGCCTGCAAAGAAGGGACACCTGGGACAGGGGATGCTCGGTGTGGTCCACGCCAGAGAGCCCCATCAGATCCCCAAGGGTGGGGAGAGCTGTGAGCGGGCTGAGCAGGCCTTGGGCAGGAGACTCCTTAGCCTGTGGTCCAGAGAATGGTACAGAGCTGCCATGTCCCACCCTGCTCCAGAGACACCTGCATTTCAGCAGCAGGTGGAAAATGCTTCCCCAGGGGCAGGTTTGTAACCACAAGCACTGGAAGCCCAGTTAGGTGGCCAAGTCCCCAGGCACAGTGGAGCCCTGGGCTCAGTTCTGGCTGAATGCAGGCTAAAGGCTCTGTGTCTACCCAGCACCCATGTTTCCCCTCCATGGTCTTGGCTTGCCCTGTGGGAGCCATGGCAGGGGCTGCTCCTGGGTGTGGGGACATCCCTATGCTCTGTGGGATGCTGAGCCCGGGAAACAAAAGGGCCTGGCAGCACCCAGCACTCGTGACTGTGCCGTGGAGGAATGAAGCTGGGGCAGGTGATCAGCTAGCGTGACCTGGTGCCTCCTGACTGGCACGCTGGCCCTGCCTGCCCTGGGGCCACAGCACGGCATGGCAGGCAGGGTGACGTGACAAGGGGGATGGGGCCCACAGCCACCCTGCCCTTGCTGTCCCATGGGCTGAGCTAGAGCATCCATGTTTGTGACAATCTGTCACCACCTTGTCACAGGATGGATTGCTACCAGGCACCGGTTTGAAGTGACAAGGACCGAGCGGTGGCTGTGTGATGCCAGGGTCTGCCCTGCTCACACAGTGCCCTGGATTTGTGCCAGCTCATCTGTGGCATGGATGTTACTGGCTTGGCAAAGCACCAGCACTAGGCAAATGGGTGCCAAGTTGTTGACTTGGACTGGCCTGGGGCTCCTGTGCCAGCACAGGGCTAAAGCCAGCATGAACATATCCAGACAGGGTCCCAAGTTCCCCCTGCCAGAGGGTGAGAGCCACCAGAAGGTAATTCCCCAAATGCATCCCACAACCTTGCCTTGTCCCCTTGGCACGTGTCCCTGGTGAGTGTACATGTCTGCCTGTGCCAGGAGCTTGTGAAATGACAAGGAATGGGCCATCACAGCTCTGCAACCTGTCCCAGACCTCCCCGAAGGCAAAAATTGACCCATCCTAACAGAGTGAGCAGCAATACTCAGGCATCTGCCTGGTCTTTGGTCCACCCCCACACAGGCCACCCATCCACACCTGAGTGCTCCCAGCATCTGCCTGGCTTGGTCACTGGGTCCTTCCTCCCCCTCTGGGAGAAGCTGGGCCTGTGCCAGACTGGGGAGTAACTGAGCCTGTTCTCCAAACGTGGCCGGGGCACCCATGTGAGCAGTGGCTCGGTACAAGGGCTGGGCTGCCCTCTGGAGCAGGGGGATGCCACATGGCGGGGTGGGCACCCAGGGCACCCCTCCTGGCCCTTTTGCCACAAGCAGAGCCCCAGGGAGGGATGCACAGCCCCCAGGGCCCGCTCTGGACCTACTGGGTGTGTTTGCTTGGCAGTGGCAGCCAAGTGAACCTGCTGCTGCGAGCAAACAAACACAAGCCAGGCAAACAGCAGTGAAGAAAACACCCCACGAAGCTGGTGTGGGTGAAACTCTGGGCACCAGCAGGGCAAGGGCTCTGACAATGATTAAACTGGCCAACCCAGATTTCCCGGCAAGGCAGCGCTGGGCTGGGACCGGTGGTTCATATTATGCAAATCACCTGGATCTGGAAGCATGAACGTTTCGGGCTGGAATTCCCCTCGGGCCGCCAGATCGCGTTACCCCGCCCGCTCTATAAAAGAGGAGACGCGGAGGGCTTGCCCATCGGCACCAGCCTCCCCGGGCCCATGAGCAGTGGCTAGCGGCCGGGCAGGGTGCACTTCGTCTCCCCTCGCTGCTCTCTGGATTAGCTGCCCCCCCCCTCCCGGGATTGCCATCGCAGAAGGTACCAAAGCTTTTTCGTCCGGGGCCTGATGATATCCGCCAGCCCAGGACGGCTGCTTTGCTCCCCTCCCCGTGCATCTTCGCTCTCACCAGGGGATGCGCTGGGTCGTCCCTCACTGCGCGCCTGTTCTCGCACCGCAGCTGCGAGCCCTTTCAGGGGCCCAGTGAGACAGCAGTCTGGAGGGCCTCCCTCGCTCCAGCCCCCAGGTTTTGTCAAGCGAACAGCAAGATTTGGCTCTTCCACGAGGGCCAGGAAGGGGCTTGGTCACCTCCTGGCTGCAGAGTTACTGGGATGTGCTTCTTGCGACAGGTTGAGAGGACTGGAGCTGCCAGCGCCGCGATCTCTGCAGCGGGCGTGGGGCAGCGGCTGTGCCAGTCCCAGCACTGCTGTGCCGTGGGGCTGGGGGAGTGCTCGGCGGCTGGGTGCCCTGCAACACCATTCTCTGCCAGCCACCCGCTTGCTGTCCCTTTGTGTTGGCTGGTGAGGCCAGGCTGCTGGGGCTGCTCTGCAATCACATTGACTGACGCTGTGTCCCCGGTTTGCTCCAGCTCAGCCTCCCTCGCTCCCGGCCCCCGGGGCGGTGGTGAGTCAAGCCCCAGCCCCGGCCGGCGGGTGCTGGGTGGGTGTTTCTACAGAAATGACCTGAGAGGTGACGATGGGTGGAGGGAGGGAGAGCCTGGCCTCACCCAGCCCAGCCCCAGGGATGCTGCAGGTGCTGTGGGCTCAGGTCCCCGCCACCTCCTTGGGCCTGGGCTCACTGTTGTCTCTTGGCACAGAGCTTGATGGCGGGATCTTGTGAGATCAGCAACATCTTCTCTAACTACATCAGCGCCATGTACCAGCCAGATGAGGCGCAGCCGACCCTGGACGTGCTGGGACACCTTGAGGATGACACTACCCTGGGGCTGAGCCTCCCCGCCAGCCAGCCCCCGGCACAGAGCACAGGTAGGGCTGGGGGAGAGGTGGTGACTGTGCAGGAGAGGCAGCATGCAGGGCAGCAGCAAGGCAGTGCCACTGGCTTGGATGAGTACTGTAAGGTCCAGGTGCCACTGGGGCAGGTCAACAGCTTGCACCATGCCCCCGCTTCCCCAGGGGTGTGTTGGCTAAAAGGCTGCTGGAAGAGACCCTGGGTGGCACAAGGTGCAGCTTCTTGGAGCTCATCAGCTGTATATGGGGGATAAGGGATTCCTTTCCCTCCTCCCCAGGGCTCACCAGAATTTGGAAGCACAGTCCTTGTGCCAGGGGTCTCCCTCTGCCAGTGGGACCATCATGGGATGGCCCTGGGGGAGGCATGGGGGAGCACACCAGCAGAGCAGGGCGGATGCCAGCACAGAGGGGACAAACTGCACCGAAATCAGCGGGTGGCACACAGCACTGGCACGGCCACCCTGTCCCTCAGCCCCGCTCTCTGTCTCTTGCAGACAAGCCGGAGTGGTTCAGTGAGCTCCCGTACTTCTGGACCAAGGTGCAGGTGCTGGAATGGATCAGCTACCACGTGGAGAAGAATAAGTATGATGCCAGCTCCATTGACTTCTCCTGCTGCAACATGGATGGGCACGCGCTCTGCCACTGCACCAGAGACCAGATGCGCCTCATCTTTGGGCCCCTGGGGGATGAGCTCTATGACCGCCTGCATGAGATCAGTGAGTGTCCCAATGTCCCCTTCAGCTCCAGGCCTGGCAACTTGAAGCTTGAGTCTGGGACCTCCCCCAGCCCAGGACCCCATGCTTCCAGGGCACTGCGGAGGCTGCCCGGGGGAGGCTGCACTGGGGAGACTCTGCAGAGGGATGTGAGGGCACAGACCAGAGTCCAGGGCAGGGCTGGGCTCAGCTCCCAGTATGCACCATTCTCCTCCATACTGAATAAGCATTGCTAATCCCAGTCCCCCCACCCCTGCAGCCTCTGATGAGCTGAACTGGATCATTGACTTGCTGGAAAAAGAGGATGTGACTTCCCAAGAGACCTTCCTGGACTCCAGCCACCTGGGTATGAGACCGTCTCCAGCCAAGCCTTTTCCCCAGGGACCACGTGCTGGGGCAGGCAGGGTTGAACCCTTCTTCCCTTCTCTGCCCCTTCCAGAGCTGGGAAATCCCTGTGCCAAGGAATTCCTTGAGGATATGAAGCCCACAAACCCTTTCCTATCTACAGACTTCACCTGCTTGCCTGGTGCCATGTCCCCAGGCAACTCTGATGTCTCAGGTCAGTGTTTTGCCCTGCAACAAGCTCCCTTTGCTTGCCCTGATCTGGGAGATCAGCGGGGAACTGTCCCACTGTTACGGGCAGGTTTGCAGGGACCTGGGGCAGGGGGATGGGGGGGAACCCAGGGGAAGCATCTCAAGATACCAGCAGGTCTGAGCCCTGTCCCTTTGCCTCCTAGGGCCTGTGATGTCCCACAGCCCCAACTCCCAGGACTCCGGTGGAAGTGACCTCGACCTCGATCCCACAGAAGCAAAGCTCTTCCCTGATGGTGAGTTGTTTGCTTCCTACTGGGAGCTGGGAAAGGAGGGCTTGCTCCTGGGCACTTCCAGCAACTGCAGAGAACATCCTGTCTGGCAGTGATTTAGGGACAACACCTGAACATCCATCCCAACACTGGGAAGGAGGTGTGGGGGGGGTGATTTTCTGTGGACCATGGGTCTGTTTCTCTCTGAGCATGGCAATGGTGCAGGTGCTGGGGCAGAGCTGGGGTAGGCAGGGCAACAGGGAGCTCGGTGGGAAGGGGTAGGTGGTAGGGTGAAGGCTGCAGCCAGAGATCCTGGGCACTGAAAGCTGTTTCAGTATTGATACCAGCTGGTGATGATACTGGGGATGTTGGGGATGCAAGGAAGCAGCAAGGTTTGAGGAATAAACAGCATGCTGCTGCCCTAAGCATGGTGGCACAGATGAGGGTGGGACGAGGCTGGAGGGAATGGGGAGACCTTGATCACAGGGAGATTATTCCCCGGTACCTGGGCCTGAAAAGAGGGTGCAGTCCCTAACCTCTTCTCATGCCCCAACCAGCTCTCCCCTGTGCTGCTCCTGAAGTCAACATCTCTGTGACCAGTGAGGGGGGAGCTGCAACCCCGCAGGCTCGGCACAGCATAACATGTCCCCTTGTCTGTGTGCACAGATGGCTTTGCAGGGAGCAAGAAAGGGGACAGCAAACATGGCAAGCGGAAACGGGGACGGCCCAGAAAACTCAGCAAGGAGAGCAGAGACTGCCTGGAGAGCCGGAAGAGCAAGCACTGTACGTGGACTCTCCAGCCCAGGAGCTTGGCTCCATGGTGGGGAAATGGGAGGAAGGGCCATGTCCACTGGCCATGCCCCTTGGCAGGGGGGGTTAGGGATGTCCAAAGTGCAGGAACCCTCAGCATCTTCCCTGCTATACAGCTTTCTTTCTTCTTCCAGCCCCAAGAGGTACCCACCTGTGGGAGTTCATCCGAGACATCCTGATCCACCCTGAGCTGAACGAGGGGCTGATGAAGTGGGAGGACCGGCGGGAGGGTGTTTTCAAGTTCCTGCGCTCAGAGGCAGTTGCTCAGCTCTGGGGCCAGAAGAAGAAAAACAGCAGCATGACCTACGAGAAGCTGAGCCGAGCCATGCGGTAAGTGCCCTCCCCTGTCCCCAAAGGGGACCTGTCCCCCAGGGCTGGGTCAGACCCACCAGGGATCATTCTCGATCCCCCACAGCAGCTCCCCAGCATGTGGGGCTGCATCCAGAGCCCTGATTCCACCTCCATCTCCTCCAGATATTATTACAAACGAGAAATCCTGGAGAGAGTTGATGGGCGACGGCTGGTGTACAAGTTTGGGAAGAACTCCAGCGGCTGGAAGGAGGAGGAGGTGCTTAACCGGAACAAGGAGCTGTAGGAGACCTGGATGAGCCAGGGACTGACCAGCCCCTTGGGGCCAGCCCCAAGCTGGGCTCCTTGGCAAGAAACTTGGCCTTCAGCTGTATCTGGAAGGTGCTGCCCTGTGCAGCGTGTGAAATGCCGACCCTTGCATGGGCACACTCGTGTGTGGTGGTGACTGCCGTCACTGAGCTGTTTAAAGCTAATATTTTGGCTCCAGTAGGTTATTGTAAACCGTTATTTCCCTCGCTGGATTTGTACCTCCAACTGGAGTCACAGTGACTTTGGCTGTTTCAAAGCCTGGACAAACACGAAGGGGAAGAGAAGTTCCACTGGCAGCTGGCATGCAGGGAGAGCCCAGCAGGTCTCCTGCTGTCACCCACCTACTGCCCGGGCAGAGGGGCAGCACCACCGTCTCACCTGTGATCGGACGGACCTTGTCCCAGATATGGGGTCCTCCCCTGTCACTGCTTGCACCGTGCTGAAGGTGCCCACCGTCCTGTTTGCTCTGCGTGCGATGGGTGAGGCCCCCCCGCCATGCAGCAGCTTCTCAGTTTGGCACCCGCTGAGAGAAGATGGGAACATTGTGGAGCTTCACCTGGCCCTGGAGAGCCTTCAGGGGGGAGGGGACTGGGGACAGCAGGACCGCTCTGCATTTCCAGCCCAGCTGCCTGTATCTGGAAACAGGCCTTTTCCCCAAAAGTAGCTTCTAATTTATGTAAGACCAAAAAAAAACCACAGAATGAATGTACAGATATATTTTTTCATTTGTAAGATGTTCCCGTGTGAGAATGTACATTGTAGGGCATGCACGTGTCTCGTAGCAGGTGGTGATGCTCAGCTGGACTGAAGCAGTGTCACAGGGGCACAGACTGGCTCTGTGTCAGCCACAGGAGGGGGATGCCAGCCCAGCCACGCACCCAGCAGGTGCATGTGGTTTCCTCCTTTTCAAATGGGAACATAAGAGGAATAAATTGTTGTTTGTTTGGGTTTTTTGTACCTCCTGTCATTTTGCTTGTTCTTCTTAAAGACATAGTGGGGACCAGACTCATGTTACCTGGGATGTCCCATTGCAGGAACCCCATCTGCCACCACCCCTCCTGCCTGCTGTGTCCTGGACTTACCTGGTCATCCTGGCATGGGGTCACAGGATCTTCCTTTGGATGAGGTGGGCTGCTTGTCCCTGGGCTGGTGGGTGTGAGATCTGGAGGCTTGTCTCAAAGCCAGCCATGCAGGGGCATCTTACACCCACTCCCAAACCCTGGTCCTCCTGAGGACCCTCCAGAAATACAGCCATGGCACTCATCTTTGCAGGAGGGTTTTCCTGGAGCACCAGCTCCAAGCCAGAAGCAAATTCCTGGTCCCAGAGCCCAGTCTGTTGTGGTCTGGTGGGGGCGGGTCTCTCAGATCCTTCCACATTAAGGTCCCCAGACTGGCTGGGGGTCACAGGCTGCAGGAGGACCTCCAGCCCCTCTCTGTCCAGTGCTCTCTTCTGAGACGTGAAAGGACATAAAGAAGCAGCACAGTCACTACAATATGTTTAAGGCTTTCTCATCTTCCAGTCTGGCTATTTGGGAGCCTCTCCTAGGACCTGAGTGCCTCTCAAGGACCACACCTTCAGGAGGGGGGACTGCTGAGGCCTGACAGTGTGGACAGCCCAAACACTGTCTGCCCCTTCTTGCCAACAGCTGCACCAGCCTTCCCCAGATAGCACAGCCATGAGGAGGCAGAGATGGTGCCCCAGGGGTGCTGGGAGGATATCTCTGACCCACAGGATGTCTGTGGGGCTGCAGGAGGGAACTCATGGGACTGGAGGGCAAGAAGATGCTCAGGTATGTTCCTACCATGAGCTTGACAAGCAGTGGTCCATGAATCGCTCCCGGCTGGCATGCATCGCCTGCATTTCATGATGAGTCTTTCTCAATGCTGCTGGGCACCAGAGGGTCTTGTTGCCACCCCAACCTCTTGCTGGTGTACAGGACCCTGCTGAATGTGGGCATGCAGAGGGAGAACTGCTCAGCTCCTATTCACCCTCTGAGCTGGGAGTTTGACCAAGTCTGGGATGCCCAGGCAAAAGCAATGCCATATCCTTCTGGAGTGACTAAGGAGGGGAGCCAGCCCACCAGTGGTGGGGGTGAGGGGAGTTTTTGGAATGCCCCTAGGCAGTAAGGGTGCCTTGCAAAGCCTGAGATTATTTTTTTGGCAGAAGGACCCAGGTATTGTTCCCTGACTGCCCTTCATTAGTGCCAGAGACATGGTACAGTTAAAAATCATCCATCTCACACGTGCAAGAGTGACCTGATGCAAAAGTAAGAAATATAAGTCCTTCAAAGCAAGGTCTCACATGGACCATCTGTGCTGTCTCCCCTGAGCTGTCCTGGCTGTAACAGCTGGAACTACCCCCCATCTGCCTGGCCCCAACTTGAGGGTGAGGATGGTGGCTTAGAGCATCCCCACTGCCGAGCCACTATGCTGCTGGGGGAAGCCCAGGCCGCTGCTTCACCAGGATGTGGATAACAAGAGATGGGTCCAAAGGCTGGGGGAACCACAGACCCTGCTGCAAGTCTCCCATTTCACTTTCAAACTCCCAGTGACCATGGCCCTGGGCACCCTACTTCTCTGGCAGCAGCCCTTAAGTTGTGGGCTCAGTGGAGGCTGAAGGACCACCTGGAGACGCTGCAGTAGCATCAAGGGCATGGCTCACCTGCCTTGCCATGGGCCAGATCCAACCTCTTCTGGGTTCAACTGCTGTTTATATGTGGAGTTGCCTTGCTGGTCCAGCTGGGATGCCTGGTCTCCTGTGTGGTCATGCCATGCCATGTCATCCCATGCCATGTCATCCCATGCCATGCTCACCTTTGCAATTCAGCAAGACATAAGAGGGGGTCTGCAGACATCCAGAATCCCAGGAATGACAAAATTGTATGGAAAACCTCCATCTCTTGCCTTCTAATGTGCTGGGATGAAGTTGTACTGCTCCCAGATCCACCTGCTGAGATAAGGCCATCAAGGTTGCCCTGTGGTGCAAGAAGAGGTCCCAGTCCCTGGATGTGAACCAGGAGCTAGTCCGTGGTCTGGGCTGCAGCCAGACCTCCGTCACGTTCCTTGCATAACCTTCCCCAGGGAACAGGTTTTCCCAGCTGGTGTCTGCTGGCTCCAGCGGGTGGAGAGTGCTCCGGGTCCATCCCCAACCTCCTGGAGCTGCTGCAAGGAGCAGGCTGGACCTGGACGGGTGGTGGGAGGGACAAGGCCGAGATTCTCAGGCTGCCCATGGAAGCAGCGTGTGTGGGAGGGGGCTGGGAGGGTGCTTGGTGGCAATCAACATGTCCGGGGGAGAGGACACTGAGCAGGACAAGCCCAGGTCTCACAGGAGCAGTCTGTGCTTCTGGCTGCTGTGCCTCCAACTTTGGGGTTGTGGGCGAGGTGTTTATTCTTCATCAATAGATAAACCTGGCAGGTTGGCAGGGAGAGGGGAGCACTTTGTCACGCAGCCTGCTGCCCTGCCAAGCGCACCTTGTTTGCTCAAGCAGTTTAATTTCTTTCTCACTGCGGTTTGTGTTACTTAACTGGCCTGGGACAATGTTTAACCAGCTCCAGCAGCAGCAGGGAACCTGTCTGCCTCTCCTCCCATGCCCCCAGTGTCCCCACCATCCACTACTACCACCTCACTGCCATTGCCAAGTGGGGGGCACACCAGCTTGGGGCAGAGGCATGTGGTCCATAGACCCCTCAGCTGTATAGGCACCCTGGGCCAGAGGAGGAGAAAGAGGCAGGGTTGGGGAACCAAATCCTGCAGCCTTCCATGGAGTCTGTGTGGGTCTGTGGCGTGAAGAACCAGGGAGGGCTGAAGGAGGGCAAGCAAAGCCAGACACACACACATGCACATGTGCACACGCTGACACACTCAGGGTAACCCCTACAGTGGCCTCCAGGCCTGTATTAAGCCAATCCAGCAGAGCCTCCCAGCACGCTGGCACAAAAAAAAGATATTATTTAATTGCTTTTTTAATCTCCCTGAAAGTGCTTGGATTTTGTGACCGTGGCAAGTGATAGGAGAAAATGGAGAAAAAGATAATTTTCCTCAAAAACAACCTCCCCTAACACATGTACACTGGGGTCTGCTGCAGGACTTTCCCCACTGGGTGATCCCAGGTTGAACATATTTCTGGTACACTGTTCCCATGGAAATATTTTGGTTGCCTTTCAAGTCTGAGCAATAAGTGGGTTTTCTGTCCCCCAGGACCACCCCCGTCAGGGACACAGGGGCCATTGCTGATCCCTGGTCCCAGTTAGGGAAGAGGAGGGCAGTTTTCCCTGGCCAGTACTTGTCTGGAACCCATGGACCTAAAGCAATCTGCTGCAGCTGAAACATGGCAAACATGGGAACAGATAAATGGGGCAAGGGGTGACGTTTTGGCTGGGCCAGCAAGAAGGTGTCCAATATCCCACCTGTCAGATCATGAACTGCCCCTGAGCACAATGGCATGACCTGATTTTCCAGCTGAGCAGGACTGTGGCCATCCTCACAGGGGATCAGGCTGGACAGGAATGGGG